TGCCAGTTGATTCTCCGTGTGTACAGCTGAGAGCTGTTTCACTTGCCTTGACTGGTGCTGCATTCCAAATGGTCAAACTGCTCAGAAGAGTCCTGACGTTTGTTTTGTCTTCTGAAGGAATTGCTTGTTCGCCGCGTTTCTGCAGGAAAAAGCACTCTCGACAAAATCTTCGCTGTTTCAAGATGTCTTTTGTATTAAGCACTTGCACCACATATTGATTGTTGTCAGTCCTGAATCACGATGAGGCACCTCCTTGCTGGGTAGGGCAATTAGATAATTTTAGTACTTTCTTAGATTGCTACGCTAATCAGTGCTTTGTTATTCAGAGTTACGTGAATGCAAAAAGTTCCGAAAGTTTGGAACTAGTTGGACTTTCGAGCACCGACCAGCTTAAGAATAAAAACGTGTTGGTATGTTTATTATGCTTGTTGCTAATATGTAACTTAGTGTAGTGACCTCATTGTTATGACCGTTCTGATCGTGATTTTTTTTTTTTTTTTTGTGATTTTCAATCACGAAAATTATTGAGACAAGTAACACGTACTGATAAAAAGCGTTACGGCTAGATTGAAAGTCATTTCTGCACTGGAAGAATCAGTCCGTCTAAGAATTGTTTCAATGATAAATGTACTCGCTCCAGGAAGTCAGCTGCCATCAGCTTGGTTTTTTAGCAGCTGCTGGAAAAGGCACCCATCAAGAGCTTATCCAGTGGGTGGTTGATTGTTGGCAGCTTCGAGCTATTTCCCAATGTCTTCGTTTGTAGTAGAAAGCGGATATGGTGGAGGTTTAACTTTTGACTTTCTAGCTTGCTTCCTTAACTGCTTTTCACAGACTTATCTTATTAGTCGACTAGAGTCAGTCCTCGTGAGGAGCCTATTCATAAAGAGCTTTCTGTCGGAAACATATCAGCGACAAGTTGAATGAATTTCAGGTTTAACTCAGTTCGAATAGGTTAATGACTTACAGAAATTACTAATCTTTTAATCAAAAAGTAATCACTTTTCGCCCTCACTCTATCGCCGGCTTTCTTCGCCTAGATATTCGGCCACTTCTAACTTAGTTCAACGTAAACAACAAAACGTCATAATACTAATAGCAGCAACAGTAGCGAATCTCTTTAAATACGCCACTGCTGACACCGAATGTTTAAAACAAGTGGTTTTGTAGGTTGTGGAGGATATCGTAGACAGTGGCAAAACGATGTCGCAACTTCTGGAAACTCTCGATGAAATTGGCGTCAAGCAAAAATGGACAGCGATTTTGTTATCAAAAAGAATTACTAGAAAATATGAGGTGATTTTCGAAAAGTACTGCTCTTAACGGACCAAAATGTCTTATCTCTTCATTTTGTTAATCTCCTTAGCACCCTTTTCTTCATTACTTTTCAGTTCTGCTGTGGTGTTCTAATATGTGATGGATACCTGTGGAAAGGATGCTAAAGTAAGGAAGCTTTTGCTGCTTGAATCTGCGAAAGCTTTCTTAGTTTAGCATGCTTTTCACAGATATCCATCACATATTACAACTCTGTAGCAGAGCCGAGAAGAAGTAGTAAAAAGTATCATTCGTACAGATTTAACTGCTCAAAATTTGAAGTGTTTTTTGCAGGTGCAGGAAGACTTCGTTGCATTCGATATCCCGGATAAGTTTGTTGTGGGTTATGGTTTGGATTACAACCAGAAATTTCGAGACCTTGGCCATATCTGCATTATGAGTGAAGCAGGTATCGAAAGGCATAAAATTTGATGGCAGTTTTATGTCATCGCAGGTATCGCACTAGAAACAAATGTGCAATGAAAGCTATGGCAATAATGTTTTGGTTTTTTTTTTTGCCAATACTTCATGAAATCTCTTCATATTGAACGATACGCTGTTTTGCTGATGCTTTTGTGGCATTTAATGCCTC